TACGTCATTAAAAATATAAATTATTTTAAATTTTTTCTACCAGCATATATCACATTAATCTTTAAGAAATTAAAAATATATATATTTTTAGCTGTTTTATTGTGATAATGGACATGAGTGATGATAGTGCATTTCTTTTATTTTTATTTATTTATTTATTTATTTATCATTGATGACATCATCAAGATGACATAATGGTCTCCACATACTAAAATGGGCATGACAAAAAGCTGCAAATAGAATATATATATATATATTTTTTTCTCACGGTGTTTTAATTAATTTCAGCCATTCATAAAATTAAATATACAGTTTGGTTAATTTAATCAATTATAGAGATTTAGTGGGTCTTCAATAAACTTCCCAAATCTCTTTTCTGTTTTGACTGCTTCATAATTGGGCATCCGAATTGAACGGCTGGTTTTGGTCAAAGAGGTTTTTATTACGGTTGAAAAATCTAGGTTTTGGTTACCCATCTGGTTTTTTAATTCTTAAACATATTATCTCATAATTTTTTAATATTTACAAAGTTAATTTATTTATTTTTCCTAATCTAATTGCAAGAAAAAAATAATTAAAAGTTTAATATATATTTATAGATAAATTTACAAATAAATTTATATAGAATGACTAAATTTATTCCAAACCCATAATGATGAAGAGCCATCACTATCTTGGGTGTATACGACTATGATTTTAGTAGCAGTGCATGAATTTATAATTAAACGAGTCAAATTAAATAGCCACGACCCAATTCTCGTCACAATCTGGAGAACTTCTCACTGAACAAAATTTGGACAATCTCATAAGACGATGGACGGCTTAATTAAATCTCTAAGAGATTCTCAAATTAGTAATTAAAGTTTTTTACTTTAAAAATTAGATAACTTTTCCTAACTATATAATTTTTAATATTTTGACAAAATAATTTTACATGAATTGTGTTTATTTTATTTATGGGTCCTCAAAGGTTGATTGTGTTCTCCTTGGTACCACGTGGTCATCAGAAATGTAAAGGATGCGACGTATTTGGTGAAAAGAATATTTGAAGTTGGGAATTTCAAACTGCTAAGTCATACCATACATTGCTTCCGTTTTTATTTTAATCTGATTTGGTACACCAACTTGGGCATATGATGGAGACAATTCAATCACTTTATAGTCAAATTGAGTTGGACCACGTAATACATCATATGTAAATTTTAAATTAAATATATCTTTACATTTATGTTGTTTTTCAAATGAATGAATGAAATTTCTTACTTCAATTAAAAGAAAAAAAAAAAGAGTTAGTATTAAATGTTCTTTTCATTTGAATACTTTGTGACTGGTTGGAATTAAATTCAATTTAATAACTGTAATACACTAATGAATTTAACGATTGACTTTATTAAATCAAATGGTACACATTAATTACTGTTAATTTATAGCACACATGTAAATAATGAACTGTTTGTTGTTCTTAAATATATTTAATTTGTACTGCTAAACTACTGTATCTGTAAAATCTAAACTTATTTTTTTTAATTATTATTAAATAACAACTTAACATATATTATACGATAAAAGACAATAAAAATACAATAAGTAATTACGATTGAAAAAACATAAAAATATTATGATCTTAAGCTCGTATATTTAAAGAATAAAAAGTTATATATACCCAATTGTAGCAATTATATATAAAGTTTAAAAATCTTAATGTAAATTAAACTTATATTTATTTAACAGCAAACCGTTTCATATCTATAGTTTGGATTTTTTTTAAAGATTCAATTTATAAGATTATTTATAACAGATTCAGTATTTGTGATTTTTCTTTTGTACATTAATTTTTTTTTTTTTTTAATGTAGTTTACATAATAAGAAAAAGCAACAAGGAAACAAAAAAACAAAGATTGTGAACTCCAGATAAGTAATCAAAAAACAGTTTATTAAATCATGAAAACAATTGGTGATTATCTTTCAAAAGAAAATCCATTTCATCAAATTACTATTACATAGCACAGATTGCTCCATAAGGTAAAAGAAAATCCATTTTATCAAGCACAAAAGGTGCAAACTGCAGAAAATTTTCCAGTTCAGAGACCAAAATTATTTCCATATAGAGCTGCCTAGCATAATAGTACATAAATATGTTCAATCCCTCTCTAAATCTATGGCTGGTTACCAGCAAAAATGCCATCTCTGTCTCTCAAGATGAAGCTCCAATACCAGGTTCCTGAATTTGAATCGATGTTCTTGACAAACTTGCTTCAAGCTCATTTAGCTCGTCCATGTCTAGTTCGTCGTCGTCGTCGTCGTCTTCAAGAACATCCTGTTTGGGATCAGAACCATCATTTGTAGAACAGCTTGGTCCCTCTGCTGCTGGCTCATTCTTGACCTGAAACAGAACAATGTCAAACAGACACACACAAAAGGACCAAAGCATTATCGCAAGCCTAATTAGTGTTTCTATGCCAAGTGTTTTACAAAGTTCAAGACCCTATTTCTTATATTCATGCATAAAGTATAATCAATAATCGTTATCATGTACTTTAACATCCTGGAGCTCTTCAAGGAGTTCAATGAAGCAATTATAGATGCAGTCAACTAGGCAAAACAGGTTAGACACTACTTCCCCCGGCCCCCGGAAGGAATCCATCTGCAATTTGAATTTCATAAACTTGTAAATGTTCCAAGTACTTTTTACAGTAGCACCATACATCTTATTTGCAAAATTTTGTTTCAACAAGTAGAACCAGATATCTATTTAGAACATTTTCCACCCAGCCAAACAAAGCTCTCACCCTTGAACCTCAGAAAATAATTCACGAACTTTTTACAGTAGCACCATACATCTTATTTGCAAAATTTTGTTTCAACAAGTAGAACCAGATATCTATTTAGAACATTTTCCACCCAGCCAAACAAAGCTCTCGCCCTTGAACCTCAGAAAATAATTTATTTGTCCCTAGCCTTTCTAACAACCCTTGTATTAGAAGCCAATATTAGAAGAACCAAAAACTTATGTTATTGCACCTCTTCTGTTAAGTGAGTTGACAAAGGAAGTATACATACTAATTTTGGTTATAAAACCATTGATTCTCCAACATGACACCTGAGTAAGGATTTTCTGTTTGAGGACAGCAAGCCTCTAGTCAATTACTTAAGGATAAAGATTACTGCCAACAATCAAATCAGCAGAAATATGTAAAGTGCTGCCCTCAATCAATTACCAGAATATATAAAAGTGCTTTCCTCTGCTGTTTGCAAATAGCATTGAAGAGTGAGTCGGTATTTTTGATGATGCAGAATAACTTCAGTTAAAATTACTTATACAAGAAATCAATCCTTTTAAATATAAAACTATAGCACTATTTAGGAGTATGTTGTTATAGTTTTAGTAATTTTAGTATTTAGTTTCCTTATACTAGTATTATTTCTTAATCCTATTAGTATTAGTATTTTTTTAATTTAATCCTATTCAAGAAAGGTTACTTACGACAGACTTCATTTATTCATTTTGAAGGTTTCTCAATTTTCTGATTACTTGATGCAATCAAATTGTTATGCTTGAGAAATCTTATATTTGATATTTAAGAAACCCTAGATGTAATATGTAGGTTTTTACCTTCACAATAATGTAAACAAACAAATGCTAATTTGTCCTACATCATTTGAAATATCTTTCAATGAATAGGAACTTCTTAGTTGAAAAGCTGATTAAAAAAAATTTATCAACCTGAATCAAGAATTCACATGATTGACATATTAAAAAAAAAAAGAATACCTTTTGATCCACAGCCTCAGGTTCTTCTTGTCTCTGGTACTGTTCATATGCCTCAGCATCATCCACAAATAAGCTGGCATCCGACAGAAACAACTCGCGGCCACTGAAAAGATGGAAATAAAATCATGAGATTGCTCAATTAACTGATTGTGTGAAATGTAAGAGGATAATACCTCATGCGGTCATTCTTAGCCCTCTCTGCTTGTTGAGCAGCCAAGCCTGCTTCTCTTTCTTCCATCTTTTTCTTCTTCCATTCCATAAACAATTGAGGAGTCATTGGAGTTGACTTTGTCAATTTAGCACGCTGAACAAATAGATGAATAATTATAAGTATTAACAGTTAAAAGATTAGCAAAGAAAAAAAAAGATATTGTTAATAATTATGAAGAAGATGAATCAATTGTAACACAGGCAACCAGACGGGGTCATGTGGAACAGAATTGAAAATAGCTATAACCTGATTTTCGATCTCTTCTTCAACAGGAACCTTCTCAGCCTCCTCTTCTAGAAGGGCCTTCATTTGAGATTTTAACACATATCCTGGAGGAAGAGCATGTCTGTAGTGACAATCTTTTCCACCATTTGGGCAATCCCAAAACCAACCATATTGTTTCTTCTCCACTGCTTCCAGAAAGTATTTGCATACCTATAATAGATACAGAAAAAAATAAACTATCCACAAAGATACAGTGTCTACTTGAGCATCAATCAGGTCATTAAAACATTAAACCCCAGTTATCACGAAAATAACAGAAATGAATATTCACTTTATAAGAACATGTTGTATCTTAGGAGGAATCATCAACTAAAAATGTCCTCCAGATAGGTGTCAATTTTCCTAAAAATCTCCTTGAAGGTCCTACTTGGCATCCTGCTAAACTACCCAAATCTTGTCATAGAAGCGAAAACCAATACATCTAATATCCTGGATGTAATTCCTGGCACTATAACAAAGGAGATTGTATCACTTTTTGGAGAAGACCAAAAAATACCAGCCAATGAACCATAGACCAAAATTGATCTTGTTTTCCAATAAGATAATTGCCTACAAGGATCCAAAAAGAGCACCTCTACCGTCCTTGTTTCATCCCATTCAAAGTTATGTTTTTAGTTTTTCGTACTTCACATATTTAAAAGAAATCTCTTGACAATTCAAAGCCTATAATGTTTCTGTAAAAAAAAAATAGAAATTAGAAAAAGTTAGCAGATCAGATAGGTCTATTTCTCATTTTAAAAAGAAAAAATAGCTGTTTAAACGATCACATTAACATTTTAAAATGATGGTCAAGGTTGCAACGATAGCTAAGTTGATAGGAAATGCAATCCAGACTATTCGAGAAAATGATCCAAATAAAAGATTCATTTGATGAATCCTCATTTCCTTGCTGAGAAAGGTCATGACAGTAAATCCCCTTAGGAGGCGAAGGCCAGGTCCCTTTCATTAAAAACTCAAAAAAGCCCTCCCCCCCTACCACCTTCCGCTTCGAATTCCTCCTCTCTCACAATTCCACCAATTTGGCTGTTCCGCTTTAGTATCATTACAACTGCCAAAAACACATCCCTGTAACTGTTGACAATGGGCAGTCACTACCACCATTGCCTAAGCAGTTGGGTGGTAACAAGTCCTCCGACATCGGCCTGCAGCTATTATGTAATATACCAGGCATTCAGAGAAGAGAAACAGATAATATATGCAGAGGAAAATTGGAGCTAGGTGAGTGTTGCAGGTGCACAAAATGGTGTCATCGTACGGTGCAAAAATGGTGAACACAACAAACAAAAACGAAAACAATGAATGTCTTTAAAAGGTATGCAAGTATTGATGAAAATATGACAATGCTCATGAAAAAGATTTTAAAAAAAAAAACAAAAATAGAGCAAGAAAATGTCTAGAGGGGTGATGAAGAGCTATTTGTATAAAAATGTGATGCAGGAAAAAGTTCTTCTTTTCCTAAAAGAATTATCTATCTTTAGGACTAATTTTAGTGGGTGAAAATCCTATCAGGAGAAATATTTGTAGGATCCTATAAATACTATATAGTCTCTTTTTATGTATGTTTTGATTGACATTCAGATTTATTCAAGAAAATTTTTTCCCTCTCAATTTTTTTGGCTGTAAAAGAATTTATCCACCCAATTTGGTGATTTCTTTTTTTCTTTTCTTTTTGTTAATAGAAATGAAATTTCATTCAAGTGCTGCCCATGTGAACAGCATGTTTCAGTTTTGCAAGATAGATTCAGAAAATATATCTATGAAGTTCATTAAGTAATCGCCATCACGGAGAGGATGACCCTTGAACAAAACATTTGGAACCAATGATATCAAATCCTAGCACAGGAATAGCAAAAGTACTCAAAAACTCTTCTATTATTTCTTCCCATATGTTATCAAAATGATCTCATTCTGTCTTTCTCTCGAAACAAAGTAATCATCTACCAAAATAGCAATGAGATTATCCTAAAAGTAACAAGTACATTTAGAACATGGGAACTACCACTGACCGGAAAGACGACAACCTTCTATTAAGGCGTGAATGAATACACCCTAAAAGTACAGAGTATAGAGTACTAAATCAAATGAGTACCTCAACAATTCAATCTAATCCTAGCATTAGAATAGCAAATGCCCTCAAGAGCTCTTCTACTTTTTCCTTCCATACGACCCATGAAATAACTCTTTTTGTGAGCTATTTCATTCCCTATTTGTCTGTCTTAAATATCCCATCTCCCTATATCAGAATCA